ACAGGGGAAGGGTCTGAGCTTCAGCACCAGGAAGTGGTTGTGTCTTGTTCAGAGCTGACACTAGCTACATTGGGAAAGTAGGGGAACACCCAATGATGATTGCTAATGTTCCTCTCACTGAGACCCAAGAGGGCTCTTGCAGTGGGCTCTGCTATTCCCAAAAGGAACTAGGTAGAAAGTTCCTAAGGCAATGATCACATTGGGGTGGGGATGATGTCTCAGTCCCTGTCCCTCTGGTCTGCAAACTGCTTCATCAGTGAAGATACAAGATGGTTGGAGTTTATTAAAACCCAGGCCACTCTTGATATAGAAGGCCTGGCGTGGAGAGGTAAGGTCCACTGCCATGTGAGGCAGTGGTCCACTGTCAGGCAGTGAGTGGGCCAGGCTCCTATGTGGCATGAGCAGCAGCAACAGGCAGCGGGTAATGGAGAAAGCCATAACATGCTATTGTTTGCCAGCACACACTTCACAGAGGCCAAGGCCCTGAGGACAAGATCTCTTCCCTCCTCAGGCCTGCTGAGGCCAACTTTAAGGGAAACTGGTCAAGCCCTATGAGTGATCAGATACTGAGGGGATAAGGCATGTACCCTTTTGGATCTTTGAGCTAGTCTACCAAACAGAATTCTTTAAAGTAACCAGTGCTAAGTCAGGGTCTATCTCTCTGGCCAAATGCCTTTCCTGGTTCTTTAAACATCCTACAGAGAAAGTGGAAGGCTTGGGGGGTGGGGGCAACAGTAGGAGACCTCTAGGAGAAAAGCCTGAGTTCAGAGAGCCAAATCTCCCAAGGAGACCCCCACAGGCTTCTCTGCTTACCTGCCCATTCTAGCTGTCAACCACATATCTACTTTTGGGGGCTGCTGATCCTAGATAGACATTCTCTTTTTCAATTAGCCTGCTGCCAACCACTACTTACATCACAGGTCTCAGCATAGTTGCCTTCACAGATCTACTATACTACCCCCATGCCTGTGTCCTGTTATTTTCTCTGTAATATTGGTCAAAATGCTTTGCTTGCACATTTGAATGTTCTAAATCTCTTAGAACGTAGCTACATGGGGCAGGTGCCATGACCAGGTGCAATGTCTCTCCATTACCTCCTGGGTAAGTGTGGAGTGAGTGAAGGAAAAAAAGAAGTCACCTCAGTCTCTCCACAAATGCTAAATGCCAATAGAAGAGGTCTGGCTGGGAAGCCCTTGGGGGCACTTAAGCTTGAGGCACAACTGTTGCTTTCTAAAAGGAGCCAGAGAAGGCTGTCAACACCTAGCCCCCATGAAATAGCCTGAAGATTGTTGTGGCAGCTGTGCCTGGGGGGGTGAACCCCAGGGAAGGCTGATGGTAAGGAAGCCACTGCAAGAGATAGTTGGAGGGCTGGGGCCTGGGACAAGTTGGTCCTGTCTCTGCAGGGCCATTCCCTCCTCTCCCATCCCTCCCCTGAGAGCCACCAGAGCCCTATCACAAAACTCCAATCTGTTAAGGTTCTACCTATCAGCCTTCAAGGATCTGTCTGTCCTGGAAAAAGATCCAAGTCCACTCACCCGGTGGGTCTTACTGTAGGTATAGAGGAAGGCCAGTCGATAGAGACTCTTGTAGTGCTGGGGGAAGCGGCTCAGGCACAGGCGGAAAGAGGCGATGCACTGCTCTGTGAGGAACTGGCGCTGTTCTTCGGCATCAGCTGGGAGCCCCTGGGGGAAGGCCATTGGCTCCCCTGGGGGTTCACCCCTCTTCTTCCCATCCCACAAAGCAGGTGTGGACACTGGGGCCTTGACAGGAATACAACCAGAGGCCAGGGGGTCTACAGCAGGTTTCTGGACTCCGTGTTCTGCAGCCCGGAAGCCTTCTGTGCTCTCTGAGGACTCCTCAGTCTTCCCTACAGTTGAGAAGCAAAAGAAAGTCACCCTGGTTTTAAGACCTGCTCATGCAGCAATCTATTAACAGTGGTGGAGGCAACTCAGTGAGGTGACTGGAAGAGTTGGTTCAGTGCCCATGTTGGACCCAGCAGTGGGAGGTGAAGGGCTGAGTGCTGGCTTTGCCACCATTGGTTTAGGCCTCTGTGGCCACATGGTCTCTTGTCCTGTGAAACAGGAGATCCCAGCTGGCATGCAGTAGAGGGGCCCAGAGGCTATAGAGAGCAGGAGTTATAAACTGGGATCTGATTCCTCCACGCTGAATATTTGGCAGAATAGGCTGTCCCACCTTCAGGGATGGTGTAGGTGCAATAGGAATGTGGCCCAAAGAGGGCAGATGCTATCACCACCACCATCAAATAAAAGAGCCAGGAAAAGTCTCATCAAGTGTCATATCGGTTCCTCTGCTCAGTATCTCAGCCCACAAATCTATTCAATATCACTTTCCAGGGCTCCAATGTAAATTGAGTGCTTATACACAGGCCCCAACTTGATGCAAGCCTGGAATATGACCATCCAGCCCTCCTCCATTAGGCACCTCAGAGTCAGGCAGCCGAAGAAACCCAAGTTGGGTACCAGGATGACAAGAGAGGCTGGGTGGCCTCAAGCTAATAGTCCCTGAGGTGCAGGTTCCTTAGCTACAGATTGAGGAGGCTATCTGGCTCAGGAGAAAATGATGGAAGGAAGTGGGGTGGGGACAAAGGCCAAAGGCCAAAGGGTCTTTGGCCGGTAGTTCCTTTAGCACTGGGAATTTGGCACATCTTGTACAACTTGCCTGGAAGGGGCCAGGGAGTCAGCTAACACCATCCAGTCTGAAGGCAGTATGCCTTCTGATTGACGCCCCTGACAGTGCTCTATCTACTGTAGGTGCGGCACTTGAAGTCTCTTGTATGGGCAAAGACTAAGGTCCTAAGGACCATGTTAAACACAATCAGGTGAACATCAGGTATGTGGCAAGCTTGGCGATCACTGCACTTCTCATTGAGACTGTGCTCCTCTCAGCTACCAGCCATTCCAGCTCCCCTGAGACCAGCTACTCAGAATACCTCCTTCAGTATCCCTGCATTTGCCCTGTCATTCTTTTTCCTAGAACCCTGCCTTCTTCTCTACCCTTCCTCACCCATTTACTTTTATCACTCAGTACCCTACTTGGTGTGGCCTCTCTTAGGCTTCCCCACCTCAGGATAGAGTTTGCAGAGTGACGGCATAAAAACATCTCCCCTCCCCAGTGGCCCAGAGCCTAACTGAGACCTTCTCTCTTTCACCATATGAAGCAGACTGAATGAATGAATACCAGGAAGTCCTATTTGGTCTAGATGCTATAATCTCTCATGTGGGCTCAGGACGCTACTTAGGTCCCATAGCTTAAGGCTGGCATCATCTTGCAGGGGATACTGGCATTTTACATAAAAGTGTGCCAGGTTTCCAGTATGTTTGAAATGTGGCTCAACGTACACTGTAAGAGTAATGGCTCTGGGCCTAGCCCTGAGGCCCCAAGGAAATAGAAAAATTGGATGATGATGCAGAGCATCCAGGGGCTCAAAAAAAGAAGGCACTAAGTTCTCAAACACAAAGACACAAGAATACAGTTTTTATTTAAAAAGAAAAAGAAAAAAAAAGTAGGCAGAGGGCAAGAATTAAACCAAACAGAATGCAGAACACATATCTGAAGACACCCGAGAAACAAAGAAAACAGCAATCTCAAAGGGAGATAAAATTTGAGGAGAAATGAGGCAGTTGCCTCATCCACAGCCTCTATTTCCCACTGCTGAATGAGCCTCACAGGTCAACAGAATTCTCCATTTATTTGATGAAAGGAAGAGGGTCAGAAAAGTCAACAAAGCCACAAAATGCTTCCTAATCAGGAGGTTTAGTGCTAACCCTAGCTGCAAGAAGCTGGGAAGACTTCTTCCTCTCAATAGAAAGCAAGAGAAATGCATCCTTTGGTCACCTAGTCTTGGGTGGGATCTGTTGCTGACAAGAACAGTCAACAACATTATATAGGTGCCAAGGCCACCAGAACACAGGACCCCCACCAGAGTGAAGTAGTGGCTGTATACGGTGGGCTACCTGGGAAGGCTGGAAAGGATCTCTAGTAAAGCTTGTGGGCGGATGTGCATAAACAGCCCCCTGAATTCAGGGTCCTCATTATGGAAAAACTTGACCTGAGGTGGCTACATGTCTTGCAGAGATACCAACAGCAGAGAAGTCCAAGCCAAAATCTGTCCTGAAAGAAAGACCTCAAGTTTCTTTCTCCTAACTGATAAGATCTTCTTATCCAAATTCCACTAGTCTGAGATAAAAGCCCAGTAGGGGTGTTCCCCCAGAAAAGGTGAGCAGCCTTCTCCCACCTTCAGCACTCCTCACCCTGCCCTGCCCATGACTTAGGCCTCCATTTGATCAGGAAGGGAGAATATGTGGCTATAGTATGGCAGGTTGTGATGTATACTGCATGGGCCACACATGTTTAAATGTGAAATTGTGGGCAATGTTTTCCTTTATTAAAATATAAATCTTTCAGTAAAGATTTATATTTTAATAAAGGTTCCCATGTTCACATTCTGGACTGGTAAAGAAAGGGTAGAAGCAAGTTATGACCTTGAAATGGTAGGCTTGAAATGAAGTATCTTGCTTCCACAGACATGTTCTTCTCCTCTAAGCCTAGCTTTTCCTGGGAACTGCAGTGGTAAAATTGATCAACTTCTTCTTTTAGAATAGTTGATGTACCAAGGAATGCATTGAGTCTGTACCCAGCAGATAGGCAGACAGTACCTAGTGCTGAATGCATTATATTTTTTATTAAAAAAAATACAAACTCTGATCTTTGCAAAGGTGAGCTTCAGTTAGCTGCAGCAGTCATCTTTGCAAAGACTCCTTCCTCAAGCATTCTGGTACAGACCAGTGTGGAGGACAGCTCATACCCACAGGACACAGTAGGAAGAAGTACAGCTCAGAGCCAGGCAAGGTATGTTTGGCAGCTCTTTCCTGCTTCCCTCAGCACTGAGTGCCTGGTACAGACCTGCACCTGTTACATCCTGTTACTCAATAATGGACACAAAATATGTAAGCAAGGGCCTGTGCCCCACTACTTGGGCCATGAAGGAAGCAGCAGGTTGCCTATGAGGGCATGCCTGGAAGGTGAGGGGTATGTAGGACACTTAGGGCACATGCAGCACTGACCCAAGCTCTGGCTTTTTCAGGGAGGCCAAAAGCTGCTCAAAGGCTGAGGATGCAGCTCAGTGATAGAGAATTTGCCTAGCATGTGTGAGATTCTTGGTTTGCCTTAACTCTAGAAACAGAGGGACTCAAGCCTAGAGATGGTGGCCAGGACTATAGCCCACTAGGAATGCAGGGGAGAGTGTGCCAGAGGCTACCACTGGTCAAGGCCAAGCCTAGAGGAGTACTCAGCACTAGGTACTGTCTGGCTGTCTGCTGGGTACAGACTCAATGCATTCCTTGGTACATCAACTATTCTAAAAGAAGAAGTTGATCAATTTTACCACTGTAGTTCCCAGGAAAAGCTAGGCTTAGAGGAGAAGAACATGTCTGTGGAAGCAAGATACTTCATTTCAAGCCTACCATTTCAAGGTCATAACTCGCTTCTACCCTTTCTTTACCAGCCCCAAACACTGTGGCTTGAACCACTGGAATGGAAGAAGCAGGATGCTTCTTATAAATCTAGAAAGGTCTGGACAAGCTAGAGTGAATCAAAGCCAAAATTCTTGCCTCAATCCCCACTTCACCCCACCGGGTCCCTCACCCCACACATGGTAGAGAGAAGCTCACAATGACAACAGCATCTATATCAGTTAACTGCTGCATGGGGCACAAGACAGAGATGATCGGTCTTGCTTGTCCAAGAGTAAAAATAATCTTGATTTTTAGGATCAGTAATGCTGTATAATAGTGTAGAGATGATAAATTACTTGTTCCTTCCCATTCTAAATTTCCTACAATGTTTTCTGTCAGTTTACAGAGAGTTGATATTACCTGGGGATAGCAAAAAACTACTTAGTGAGAAGGCAGGGCAGTGGCTTCAATTCCGAAGGGGAAGGTACAGGTAAATCCATCTGGCAAGTCCCCTGGTTCCATATCTCTTACCTGATGCTAATCGGGTCACTTTTTCCACCTATAGCAGATGTGGCCTCACCCCTTCAAAGGCTAGCATGGAGTAGAGAGCTGGATAAGGCCTTACCTCCTGCTCTGTTTCCATTGCCGCACCTGCAGGTGAGCTCCCAAATCTTAATCTTCCCATCTAGGATCAACACAGTGACTAGGCTATCATCCCCTTGCTCCCATCCAGTTCACCTGGAGAAGGCAGCCCAGGATAGTGGCTAAGCCTGACCTCAGGCAAATGAAAAAATTTTAGGTTCTTTTTTTTTAAATTTTTATTAGTTATTGATGAACCTTTATTTGTTTATATGTGGTGCTGAACCCAATGCCTCACACATGCTAGGTAAGCACACTACCACTGAGCCACAACCCTAGTCCCCCCAAATTTTAGGTTCTTCACCTGTAAAATGGAAACAGTCATACTGCTTTCTTCCTAGGGTGATTAAGAGGACCAAATGAGTTAAAGCAGTGTCTGGCCCAGGACAACCAAGAATAGAGTTGTTGTTGCTATTATTTGGTAAGCACCTGTATGCCTGGCTCTCGACAGACTGGCTCTTGCCAGTTTTCAAAAATCCATGGCTGATCAGCTAAAACCTTAGAGTAGCACAAGAAATTCCCTGACCTGCCTGTGGTCTCCCAGCAAGCCCAGAGGTGGGGTTCTGCCCCCTGATTTCTACAAAAGGGGTCTGGGGATCCTAAGAGTGCTGGGTATATCCTGGACTTAAATCAGGGCCTTCTGTCTAGAAAAGGAGATTTTTTCCTAGAGCCTTGATGTGATTTAGACTAAAAAGAAAACACATTTTTCACATTTAGAATCTAAGGACTTTTTTTAAAATAACCATTTACCAAGGGAGAAAAAAATAGGGCATACTGACATTGTGGACATGGCTTTCCCAGGCTAGGCTGTGGGGGTCATAGTAACAACAACAAATGTCACTGAGCACACATGGTGCACCAGGCTCTGTGCCAGCACCTTCAGGAGCTGCCTTGTTTAATGAGAACCCTGAAAGTGGGCACTGAGATCACTACCATCTTACAGGGAGAACAGTGGAGGCCCAGAGAAGTGAGTAATTTGACCAATCAAGGTCCTAGGGCAGTAGCTAGAGGCATAAAGACAGAAGCCAGGCTGGACCCATGGTCTTCAGCTCTGCCGAGACTGCCACAGGACACCAAAACAGTTCTAATTTACTGACTTAGGTCTTCATACCTCTTTCATCTGTGGCCCCCTGAAGGTCTTTACCAGTTGGTCCTGTTTGGGCACTGAGCATGGGCAACCTCTTCTCTGCATAGGGTTTCCGGGAGCCTTCCAGTGAGCTGGTGGGCTCGTTAAAGAAGTCCTGCGTTGAACTGGAGTCTGAGAGCGCCACGGCTGTGCTGTCCTGGCTTCGGTCTGGTGGGGAGAAGGAGGGAGAGAGGGCGGGAGCATGAGTCCACACCACTTCTAATATGGAGAGGTCTCCCCATGGTGAAATCTCCCTGCTGCTCTGGAAACTACCCTGCAAAGGAGATGGCCTGAGCACAGCCACTCTGACCCTGCTGAATCCAAAATATCCCAGAGGCCCCTGAGCCACTGCCAAAGGCACCAATCTCCACAGTCAACCTTCCTGAGGTTTCCCCAAACAGTGGTATTTAGTAAATGTTGTCATCAAGTGGTTCTGAGAAGTAAAAGACTCTGATTTATAGCATTTACTGATTTGTTTGGTATAAATATTCCCACCATGACCAACTGTAAGCTATCAGTGTGCTATTGGTGAACATGGAGGTGGGAAGAGATGCATAGTAGGCATCATTATATAGTATTTTTATCATATAGAGATAATAGAAATAACATATGGGAAAGAATTAGGCAAATGTTTTTAACCTACTGTTAAAGGCCAGGTAGGGTCTAGAACCAGAGTCTAGATCTCTCGGAGTCACAGACACAAAGGGAGCTTGTACTTATTTCCTGGCTATTCTCCTAGGGTTTCTCTAGGGACTGGTGTGGGAGGAAGACTAGGGGTACGGCAGAATGTATATGGGTACGAGTACCCCCTTCTGGGAGTGCAGACTTGGAGGGAGGAGCAGGAGCTGCTGTGGGAAAGATCTGAGTCTGACTTGGACTCTTCTTCTCTAAAGGTCAAAAGCCTCTGGCCTTGGAGGAATGGCAGCAAACTTTGTTACTTCATGATATAGGGGAAGGGCAAAGAAAACCCTCTGCCCTGAAGAAGGGCAGGAAACCTACTAATAGGGGAGGGGCAAATCACTGAGAAAGCCCCACCCCCAAGATGGAGGGACAGAGAGACTGCTTAAGTCTTGAGGCTGGACCAAGACAACAGAGAGCTACCCTTGCCCCTATCCCATAGTAGCAAGCACTGAGTAGCAAGAGAGCAGCCGACTGCAGACAGCGGGCAAGAGCAGGCAAGAGCAGGCAGGGAGATTCTCCCTGAGAATGAAGAATGAAGTCCTAATGTGAAAGGTAGAACTGGAACATCTAAAAAAAATTTGGGCAAACTAGACACCACTTTAAGTACAAGGTAACACAAGGGGAATACAAAGCCAGTGGTGCAATTAAGATAACCAAAGCAAAACAACTTCCAAGCCAGCTCAACTTCTTATTAACCTAACCCAACTTCCCCTGATAACCTAGAAACACAAGAAGGAAGACCATTTTGAGCATAAATGTCATTTATTTCAGTTTATTGTTCCTTCACCATATCTGGTATTAAATATAAAAATTATAAGATACCTATACCAAGAAAAAGAAAGAAAAAGTATGAAAAAAAAAGTGTTGCTAGGAGATAAAACAATCAATAGAACCAAACTCAGAGATGATCCAGATGATAGAATTAACTCAGAGTAATATGATTCATAAATATGATTAGTATGTTAAAGGCTATAGTGGAAACCTAAACATTACCCCATGAATTGAGGGAGAATTTTAGGAGTGAGATGGAAATTATAACCAAGAGTCAAATAAGGATGCTAGGGAAAATAACAACAAGAAAAAATGTTAACAGAGAAGAATGCCTTTACCAGACTTCTTAGCAGACTTGATGCAACTGTGGAAGGAAAAAGCAAAACTTGAAACTAAGTCAACAGAAATAATCCACTCCAAGAGAAAAAGTGGCAGAATGGTTGTTTCAGAAGAGCATATCCAAGAGCATCCAAATGATCTAACCCATTAATTGGGCTCACCATAAGAGATGAGAGAAAAACAGGACTAAAGAAATATTTGAAGACATGACTATAGTGCTTGGCTAGCATGTGCAAGGCCCTGGGTTTGATCCTCAGCTCCACCCCCACCCCCCAAAACACCATCAAAAATAATGAAAGATGGGGCTTCGGCTGTAGCTCATCAGCAGAGCGCTTGCCTAGCATGTGTAAGGAACTGGGTTTGATCCTGAGCACCACATAAAAATAAACAAAATAAAGGCATTCTGTCTATCTACAACTACAATTAAAAAACATAATGAAAGACATCAAATTACCAAGAAGCTCAAAGAACACCAAACAGGGAAAAGACCTCCTGCACACATATTAAGAAAAAAAAAATCATATCTGTGCTTACTCAAACTGCTGAAAGCCAAAGATAAAAATTCTCAATGACTTCCAGGACCTCATGCCAGACAAATGCTCTATTACTAAGCCACACCTCTAGCCCTAGACATTATCTTCAAAGTGCAAATAAATAAATAAAAACTCAAAATTCTACATGAAGATGTAAAAATACCACCCCCCAAATGCAGGAGAAACAAAGGCTTTTCTTCAGATGAACAAAAACAGAGGATTTCTTAATGGTAGATCTGAGTTACAAAAATTGTTCAAGGCAATTCCTGAGATAGAAAAAAATATGAAACCAGACAGAAACTTGGATCTACACAGAGAAACAAAGTTAACCATAAATAGTTAAAGTGATAGTAAATATATAAAATACCTTTCCTCTTATTTCTAATTTTACTAAAATACCATACCACTTTCTAAACCAAAACAGTAGCAATGTGTAGGCCAGTAGCATAAGTAAAAGCAAAATGCATGAAAACAGTCTAAAAGATGGGAAGAATGTAAGAACATTGCTCATGAAGTAGTATAGTATCTTTCGAAGGCAGACTATTGTTAGAGATGTATTTTGTTAACTGTAAGGCAAAAGCTACATTTAAAAAAAACAAATATTATTAACAAATGAATAATAGAGATAAAATAGAACCATTAAAAAATTAAAGTGCTTTGCCTTGAACTTTTATCTGAAGGTGATGCTCAATGAACTAGGAATCAAAAATTCCTCTTGTGTTACTCACAAGTTGTGCGACCTTGGCCCTGCCTCATCTATAAACTAGTCATGTATTTCTGAGAGGTCCATGCCATAGGCTTCTGAGGACACAGTAAGAAAGGAAGAGTCCCAAGACCTTCAAGTTCTATGCTTAGTTACTTTAAAAACTTGATATTGATGTTTTAGCACATACATCTGCTCTGCCCTCTTGGCCCATGTCTCATCGTATATCCAAGAGCTGGGGACAGATGTTGTAGGCAGCACAATATAGTTGCAGTCTTTCATAGCTGCCTTTGAAATATTCACTGCTTAGTAACTGATGTGTCATAAGTATCAGTTGGGCTGCTAGAAAAACATGAATAGGGTATGTGAGACCCAAGCTGGGGAGCAGGGATCCAACTAGATAGACCCTCTCTGACTTACACTCAACAAGGTGTTCTATGCTTACTTGTGAAGCCACCTGTGACCCTAAGACTCCATAAACACTGAATGGGAGTTAGGAGCAGGTTTGTTCTGAAAAATTTCAAACCTTTTAAGGGGATCCCTTCTCTTCTCCCTCAGGAGAGGTGGGGAAGCTGCTTTCTGTCCCTATAAAAAGGAAGACCTGACAATAGAGACCCTTTATTCCAGAAGCCATATGTGATAATTGCAGGAGCTCCAAACTTGGGGTCTCAGTCCCACACTCAGACATAGGCTGGCTAAACCTGGCTGAATGATTTTGCTGCTTTAAAGTCCCTACTTCATGATTTTTTTTTTTTTTTTTGGTACTGGGGATTGAACTCAGGGGCACTCAAGCCACATCCCCAGTCCTTTTTTGTATTTTATTTAGAGACAAGGTGTTACTGAGCTGCTGAGTGCCTCACAGTTGCTAAGGCTGGCTTGAACTTTCAATCAGCCTCAGCTGCCTCAGTTGCCTCAGCCTCCCAAGCCACTGGGATTATAGGCATGTGCCACCTCGCCCGGCCTATGTCATGCTTTTTAACATGATTTTCATGGTCTCCCAACCTCTGCCAGACACACATGGGATTACAACAGGGGTATGGCCTGGTGCCTAGCACACTTGAATGATGGCTCAATGACCCATCCTGTCCTGTAGCATTCTCTCTGATCCTGACAGTGAGAATACTGATGACTTGGACAACTCTTGAGAGGCCTCAGTTTCCAAAAGATGGGAGAGGTCATGCTCTTGCAGTTGATGTCTCTCTGAACATCAGACCAGGGCCAGCTCTCCTCAGATAGCACAAGACAAGCTGAAGTCACTGCAGGCTGATCAGTACACCCTGCAGCAAGCTCCAGGAAGCAAGCATGGCCAAGATGATCTCACCTACTGGCATGCTGCCCCACAAGCTCGCTGGTCACAAGCTG